GCTGTGTCTTCACCCCACGGCTGGAGAAGTTGTCAAGGTACTACTTAATGACACTATCCCCAAGTTTGGATTACCTGACATCATCTCCTCAGACAGAGGACCACATTTTGTAACTAGCATAATACAAAGAATTAAGAGCATTCTGCAAATCAAATGGCAATTACACACTCCATATCGACCACGTGCGAGTGCTCAGGTGGAGAAAATGAATCATTTGATAAAATAGCAATTGGCAAAAAATCTGTCAAGAAGTAAACCTACATTGGTACCAAGCTTTACCTCTGGCCTTATTGTGAATAAGGGCCAAACCTAAGACTAAAGAAAGGCTGAGTCCTTTTGAAATGTTATATGGAAGACCCTATGAGAATTATTATCAAGGAGAAGAATCTCATACAAGTTGGAGAAGGATATGTACAGGAATACCTGATCTCATTAAGTGAACAATTGTCAAAAATTAACAAACAAGTAATGAGTACTCGCTCAAGGGGAATAGACCAGCCCTTACATAACATTTCCCCCGGGGAGTGGGTGTATGTTAAAACTTTTTCAGACCAACCACTAGAAGAGAAGTGGAAAGGACCATACCAGGTGCTTCTGACAACCTACACAGCAATCAAAATTAAAGAACAGCCCAACTGGATTCATTATTCACGAGTGAAGAAGGCACCTCGAGAAACATGGATGTCAGAACCTGTAAGGACCAACCACCCTCAAGTTTACTCGACACTAGCCGCTGGAACTCTGATAAGTATAATAACTCTGGCTCAAGCCATTACCTTAGACTGACCATGGTCTAGAGCTTATATTAGATATTCTGGTATGTCTGGAAAAAAACATTTCTAATTTAAACCTGGCCACTGTAGTCATGCACAAAAATAGACCATATTTTGATAGGGAAAAAAAAAATGGGCTTAGTACCTTAACTAGAATAAGTGGGAAAACACGGATAAGATGTAGAAGAATTAACATACCTGACAATGATAAACAAATATCCCAGACACAAATCACTGTAAGAGAATCTATAAAAGGAAACCTGATTGGTAAGTCAGTCTGTATGTCTGATCAGTGCTGACACAACTTTACTATAGATACACCAGTTTCAGTAATATGTCTTTGAGCTACTCTGAAAGGAGACAAAGCACTATCAAAGAAATTTATAATAGACACCACAACAAAAGCAACAACACAGACTCCCACTCCTTCATCACATACACCCTCAGAATGTACAAAAAGAAATCATAATCTTTCCCTTGTAGGACCTTATGTAATTAGACAATCTAATGAGCAGAAGTTACTCTTGGACCCTACATATTCTCTGAAAAAGGTCCAAGTAAAAATACAAACAAATATATCCTCTATAAAAGAGGATTACCAACCCTTCATTCTCCAAAGTCTTAAAAGATGGAGTACTTAGTTAAAAACTAGATCCCATCATAAAAGAGCCCAGAGAGATCTAATGGGATGGTTTGGATCAGGGTTAAGAGTATTAAATTCAATAGATCAAGAAATGTTAATTAATAAACTCAGCACTGTAACCTCTGATTTGGGAAAACTGGAGGTACCACTAAGATCATCATTAATGACTATAGCTGAAACACAATCTTTTACTACAAATTTAATGATCTTGTTAACTGAACACACATCTAAAAATTTTCAGGTTGTGACTAATGTCTTTAAAAAATTACAAAAAATGTTTCAATAGCAATACAGTGTATCCAAACTCAGCAATGGATACAATCTGTATCTGCAGGAATTATAAGAGAAGGAACATCAAGAATTTTACGTCAAGAGATAAGAGAGATCATATCCAGACAAGACACCACAAGCAAATTTGAAAAAGAACATCAGGCATGGTGGCAGTTAGTAAACTTCACATATAACAAAGGGCAGGAGCAGATAGAGGCATATGTTCTTACCATCCGTGAGGCAAAAGAACAGGCCATATTTCCTGTCTTAGCATTAGGAGCAATACACTGGGACATTGTAATTAGACCTATAGGGCATAATGTCTGGGCAAGCTATGACAAGGACATGAGGAGGTGGTAAACTGTCAACACGAAGGCCTGTATACCTAAAAAAGAACTAGGATATATGTGTGAAAATGCTATAATAGAGAAGGAGGATTTATGTTGGGATACAGAAGACAGTGTACGTACATTTGAAATGTTCCCAAATACACAGACACAATCCCAGGTGTATTATATGAGTAAGAGATGTGCCTGCATCAGGACACCTTGCATAAGTATAACAATTGATAATTGTAAAGAATTAACTAATGGTACTAATTTCTGTGTTTGCAATTTTACTAAAATAATAGGATGTGACTTTAGTAGTTTAGGTACACTACCCCTGTGACCACCATGCAATTGATCGCGGATAAATATATGTTATATTAGGAGGTGCCTAAACTACAAATAGGCATGGACATTAATATCTTCCAGAAAATGCTCTATCATCCTGATATTGAACAAGTAAATGTTTTCCTGATGGAAAAAGTAAATGCTACTTAATGTCGCATGCTGTGGCAAGTGAAACACGACACAGCAGAGATAAAAAACATCATTACAAAAGTGGCAAAGACTGGAGAACATCATTGGTGGAGCATATTTCTGGGATTAACCAATAGACATTCACCCACGGCAGCTCAGCTATTTAACTTCCTGATTCATCCGATCTTGATTTTGATGCTGGCAACTCTCCTCCTTACAATCGTCAAACTATAGATGTGGTGGAAAATAAAGACTATAGCACAACAAGTACCTGTGCTCTAGACCATACAAAAGTGATGCAAAAGAATTTGCATTAGTTAAAAGAAAAGGGGGGAATAGAAATAGAAATTAAAATGAAATAAAATTTTGCTATGTTAATTTAGCTATGTAAGTGTGACTTTGCAAAATGTAAAACTGCTTAAAAAGTTTCTGCCCAAACTGTGGGCAATTAAGATAAAAATAGCTTAGGGAACAGGGAAGGCTTTTCAGCACGGTAGAGAGGGGTGGAGAACCTAAAACTGTTTGAAATGATAAAACTTTATGTAACTACTCTATAATAGTAAGAATAGGAGGTAAAACTAAGTGTCTATTTAGATAAGACAGACTGCAAAAAGAATGTGTGTATAGATAATTTTAAAACTTGCTATGTTCAAACTGTACAAAAACCTAAGGTATTCCTTTGCTCAGTGGAGTGCACTGGGGAAAACACCTACCCCTTTGCATTTCCCGGCCGTAATAAAAGTGCTTTTCAGATTGTTCAAAGGTTTCTTTGAATCAGCAGCGCTGTCATGAGTCATGCTTTCAATAACTGGAACAGAAAAGAATGGAGCCAAGGTCAGAGACTAAACCTCTGGTGACCCAAGAAGCCCCTCCTGCCAGGGCCATCCCACCCAACTCTTGCCATGGCCAGGAGGGAGCAGGGCCCAACAGGATCAGTCGGGAAGTGCTGGCCACCAATATCCCCCGTGCCCAGGGTCTGTGCTCCTCTCACCAGCCCCCACTGCCCTCACTCACCGTCAATGACGATCTGCAGCTCTACCCGCTGTCCCTTTAGGTACCTCCCGGCCATCCCTGGGAACACAGATCCTGTCAGGGCCCCAGCGGCACAGCTCCCCCCCGGCGGCGCTGCCGGCCCGGCCACGCACCCTCCTGCCCTGGCAGAGCTGAGCCCGGGGCCTTCCCGCCTCGGGACGCCTCAGGGCTGGGCTGGCACAGGGCGGCAGCCACCAGGGCACTCGGGGCTCCCCAGCACATCCCTGGGCCGCATCCTGCTGCCGCTGCAGCAGCCGGGGCTGGGGCCCAGCTGCAGCGGGGCGGGGAGGGACCGCGAGCTTGTGGCTCACCAATGAACCTGAGGGCTGCCTCGCGCACAGGCTCTTGTGGGCTCTCCAGGTACGGCAAAGCCTGGCGAAGGTACTCGGCCACTCTTCTCTCGTCCTTTTTCAGCTGGAGAGAGCAGCAGGGCACAGAGGGAAGGGTTGGCTGGGGCTCTGCCCCTTGGCCGGGCGCTGCCTGCGCCCAGCACTGGCCTCCCCTGCCCGCACAGCCCTGAGGCCCGGGCAGCAGCTGCTGGGGCCGGGCTTTGGAGGGAGCAGAGGGCCGGCTGCTCCCTGGCAGCTGTGGGGCTGCCCTGCCCCACAGCCCAGCTGGGCTGGGGCTCCAGCAGCACCCTGGCTCGGGGACAGAGGAACCTGCAGAGGAGCCCGCACACCCCAGGCAAGGCAGCAGTGTGTGGGGTGCAGGCTGCTGTCCCACAGGTGGCTGCAGCAGTGGGCAGGGGCACAGTGGCGGCCCCACACTCTGGGCATCGGGGACTGGGGTTGTGGGGTTGTCCTTACCAGGCTCCAAAGTCTGATCCTCTAGCAGCAAAACCTGAGCTTGTGAACTAGGAACAAAGGAAAAAGCAGCAGAAGCTGAGGCAAAGCAGAGACTCATATGGCTCAGGTTCCAGGATGGAGGGATGTCAGTACTTGGTGTCTGCTGCAAAGATGGCCCAGTTCACAAGCTCAGGCTTTGCTGCTAGAGGATCCTACTTTGGGCTTGCTGGAACCCATTCCCTACCAATGCATGGGAAAGACCAAATGGAATGGAATGGAAATGGAATGGAATGGAAACAGAATGGAATGGAAAGACCAAAGCCTGATCCTCTAGCAGCAAAACCTGAGCTTGTGAACTGGGAACAAAGGAAAAAGCAGCAGAAGCTGAAGCAAGGCCTCATATGGCTCAAGTTCCAGGATGGAGGGAAGTCAGCAGTATGGTGTCTGCTGCAAAAATGGCCCAGTTCACAAGCTCAGCTTTTGCTGCTAGAGGATCAGGCTTTGGGCTTGCTGGAGCCCATTCCCTACCAGTACATGGCCCCCCATTGCTCTTGTATCAAGTGTTCTGGACCCGTGGGAACACGTGTGCCCTGTGTCCGTGCCAGAGCAGCAACTGGCAGAAGACGTCTGCTGCCAGCACTTGTCTTGGCTGCTCCTTCAGTGAGGTGGCACCTTAATCAGAGACACAGAACAGGTTTGGATCCCAGAGTTCTCCCTATCCCCTTCACTTCTCCCCAGTGCCCTGGATATCAGCTGGGAGTCGCAACTGGACACACAACAACTGGAGCTTTGAACATCAGACTGGGCAGCTTTTATTTTGCAGACTGCAAGAAAAAAAGTCCAAAGAACACAAGGAAAGTTGACAGGGTCTCTGACCAATTTAATCTTCCTGCGAAACTCAGCAACTGAGGGTGGTTTGGTGCTGCAGGTCATCACTTCCATGCAAAAGTCATTCCCGCAGGAGAAACTGCTTCTGCCTTCTGACAACTGCCGAGCACGGCCACCAATTGCTCCAGCTGCCACTCCCAACAGCCCCCTGCAAGAGCGCAGACATCAGTGCTCGTTGGCTTTGGCTGCCCTCTGGCAGAGAAGTCCCCTGGGGACACAGCTCTGGGGGGCAGGAGATGGGCACCAGCCCTGCCAGGACTCAGGGCAGTGGCAGGTCTCCTTGGGTGAGGACTTGCCAGAGCTGCTGATTTTGGTGCAGCCCTGGGCAATGGGGTGGGAGCAGCATTGGTGCCCTTGCCCCCACTTTCCTTCTGTGTGTCACAGCCCTGTGTTTGGGAGGGCCACCAGCCGGCACTTCTCCCAAGGAGCCCGTGCCAGCTCGTGTGGAGGCCCCGTGGCCTTCCCACTGCGGCTGCCTCGGCAGCCGAGGGGGCTCCTTCTGCTGCCGTGGGCAGGCACAGCAGGGGAGGGTTTGCTTAGTTTTTCAGCTGTGCCTAAAGTTCGTGTCCAGCTGTCTTAGATAGTTTGGAGAACGGACCCCTTCTGACCTTGGGCAGGTTGGCCGGGCTGGGGGAGGCCCCAGGGCATGTGGCAGTGTGTCACAGGCCCTTTGTGACACGTGATGACATAGTACTGGTGGTGAGGTGGCCACGCCTCAGTGCTCCTCGGAGCATGCGACAGGACAGACGGGACAGAGTGGTGCTGTGCAGAGCCCCCCCGCAGCCAACTCTTTCCCTGCTGATCCAGAGTGTTTTGGAGGCTTTTCTGTGCTGCAAGCATCCTTGAGGCCAGACTGTGGGACTTGGTGACACAGAGCTTTTGCGAGGTGTCCCCAATCCCTGCAGCAGGTGCCCTCGAGGCCGAACTGCAGGACTTGCTAACCCCTAGCATTTGCTAGGTTTTTCTGTCTTTCAGGTGTCTTCGAGGCCAGACTGCAGGACGTGATAACCCATAGCGTTTCTTAGGTTTTTCTCTCTTTCAGGTGCCCTCGAGGCCAGACCACAGGGATTGGTGACCTGGAAATTTTCTGGAGTCTCCAATCCCTGCGGTGGGTGGCCTCGAGGGCAGCCTGCCGGACTTGGTGACCCGGAGATCTTCCGAGGTTTCTCTCTCTTGCAGGTGCCCTCCAGGCCAGACTGTGGGATGGCAGGAAGATGCCTGAGCCTGCTCAGGCCCTTTCGGATGAAGAAGAAGAAGAAGAAGAAGAAGAAGGAAGGCCCTGAGACTTCCCCTGCACAGCAGCCTGAGGAGATGGAGCAGTTGTATCCCCTGCAGGAGGGTGAGTGGCAGACCTGGGCCACAGGGCTGGTGGCTGCAGCCAGATGGGCCTCTTCCCATCCCCCGTGGACATGGCCAGGGAAAGGGAGGGGAGAAGAGGGCCCAAGGCTGATCCGCCAGTGGCCATGCTCCATGCACTGGGCATCCCGGGGCTGGCCCTGCCTGTGGAGTGCATGGCTTGCCTGTGTTCTTCAGCCTGTCCCGCAGCCCCTCAGCTCTGACCGCGTTCACTCTTTGCCAGATTCAGGCCGGGACCAGACACAGGAGCAGGACCGTGCCCGTGGTCGCTTCCGCAGAGCTGATCAGGTACCTGCAGCCACGGCCTCCTGGGCTGGGCCTGCTGTCCCTGCTCAGCCTGGAACCACTATCAGAGCTCTCTATGGCATGTCCTTTTCTTCCCTGCCATTCGTTCTCTTGCAGGCCTTTCTGAAATTCATGGGCATTCAGCGTAGAAAGACCAGGACCTCACCAACTGAGGTCATGGCACAGCCTGACACCAGGCTGATCAAGCTGACGGCAAAGCCTTATGTCGGCACTGCACCAACTGATCGCACAATGAAGTCTGATCCCGCATTGAATGGTCACACAAGAAACTCTGACACCACACTGATTGATCAAAGAATGAAGTCTGACACTTCTTTGACTGACGATATGACAGGCGCTTACAGCCCATCGATTGATCGCATGGCAATCTCTGACATCGCATTGACCGATGATCCGACAAACTCTGACACTGCATTGCCTGATCTCACTGCGGAGGCCGACACTGCAACAACTGAAGGCATCACAGACACTGACCCCACGCCCAGTGACAGAGTGATTGATTCTCCCAATTGGGATTTTTTTGAGGAGAATGGTGACTCCAGTTCAAAGCAAGTAAGCAGCCTGTGTCCAGGGCTCAAGCCACCTCCCCTGGGCCCTCTCAGCCTTTGAGGCCAGCACAGTGTGGTGGGAAGTGGAGCATTTCTGGGGGAAGCCTGGCAGTTTGCTTGCTCTGGCAGTTCTCCCACTCTCCCCCATTTCCCCTTCAGTCCAGACTATGGGACTTGGTGACCAGGAGCTTTTCAGGTGCCCATGTGGCCAGTCCACGGCACTTGGTGACCCACAGCTTTCCTGAGGTGTCTCTCTTGCAGGTGCCCTCAAGGCCCGACTGTGGGATGGCAGAGAGAAGCCTAAGCCTGTGTAGGCTGTTCAGGAGGAAGAAGGAAGGCCCTGGGGTTGCTCCAGCACAACAGCCTAAAGAGGTGGAGCAGTCTCAGCCCCTGCAGGAGAGTGAGTGGCAGAGCTGGGTCGCAGGGCTGGTGGCTGCAGCCAGATGGGCCTCTTCCCATCCCCTGTGGACATGGCCAGAGAAAGGGAGGGGGGAAGAGGGGCCAGGGTTGATCCGCCAGTGGCCATGCTCCATGCACTGGGCATCCCAGGGTTGGCCCTGCCTGTGGAGCGCAGGGCTGGGCTGTGTTCTTCGGCCTGTCCCGCAGCCCCTCAGTTCTGACCACGCTTGCTCTTTGCCAGATCCAGGCCGAGATAGGACAGAAGAGCAGGACCCTGCTCGTGGCTGCTGGCGCTTTATAGGCCAGGTACCATCAGCCATCCCCACCTGCTCAGCGGACACCAGTACTGGAGCACTCAATCGAACATCCCTCTCTTCCCTGCCTTGTTTTCTCCCGCAGATGTTTAGGGACTTCAGAGGCACAGCGAAGGCTGATGTCAGCATCAAGCCAAAAGAGCGCACGGCAAACACTGACACCACACCCACTCAGAGCCTGGCTGATGCTCCTGGTCTGGACTCTTCTGGGGAGAGAGTTGTCTCTGCAAAAGTAAGCAGCCTGAGGCAAAGGATCGTGTGGACACTAAAGTTGGGTCTGCTGGGCCCCCTCAGCCTTTGAGGCCAGCACAGTGTGGTGGGAAGGGAAGTACTTCTCGGGAGAAGCTGGGCGTGTTGCTCACTCTGGCAGCTCTCCAGCTCTCCCCCCGTGACCCCTCCAGGTGCAGGCCTTCATGAAGAACATGCATCAGAGACTCACAGCCAACATGTTCCCAGAGAACAGACTGTTCATGGACATACTGAGGTTGACTGATACATACCCCGCTGATGTCGCATTGACCCTCCTGCGCTGTGCCCCATCGTGTGACAGGTATGGGGCCCATGTGCCTTCAGGGCTCAGGGTTCACCAGCCTTTAGACCTGTCCCACATGCTCTGACAGACAGACAGAGAGTTCCAGGATGCTCTGGTCCTTGTGTTTCCCAGCCCTGGCACCTCAGCCCCCAGTCCTGCTGCCATGCTCCCTCCCTGCTCCTCAAGGCAACATGGCTCTGTCACCTGGGCTCCTGCAGCTGCCCAGGTCACAGCACAGTGGCTCAGACTCCCCTGACACAGAGATCTGGCCCCACAGAGCTGCTGCAATCATGTGGAGGACCATAGCCTTGTCTGAAACAACAGTGGTGAGGGTGCTGCCAACGCTGCTCTGTGTGATGGAGGACTGGCCACAGCACAGCGTGTCCGCCTCCGATGAGAGCAACAAGGACATCTTTGCCCTGGCTGTGAGTTTCTGCCTTTGCTCAACCCCAGGTTGCCTCTCTGATAGCCCTCTATCCTCCCCCACTACGGCATCTCCCTGCCTCATGCACCAGGCTGGAAACCTGGACTAGGGGTAGGTTCAGGGGCACCAGGCCAGGGGCTCCCCCTGAGTCTCCCCTGGCCTCTGCCTTCCATGCTCAGGCCCTGCCACATGGATGTCTGTGGCCGGATGATTTGTCTTTTGTAGGCAACCAGAGTGGTTTGGGAAATTCTCCAGATGATCCAGTGCCCAGAGGCATTGATGGAATATTCTCCCCGTCTCCTTGTGGATCTGCTCTTCCAAGTCTTCATCAGCACAGAGCAGATGCCAGAAGAGGTTGACACCTTCTGGAGGAGATGCTGGGAGGGACACCGCCTTGCCAGGAACCCAAACAGGTGCTCCATCCCAGTCCTCCCCTCCCTCCCATGCCCTCAGGGCTGGGTCAGGGCTCCCAGCATGACCTGGGCTTTGCTCTGCACACAGGTTTGCAGTGTTGACTATGAAGACCCTGCTCTGCCGTCTGCAGTTTGAAAATATTGTGATGGCAATGGAACGGAAGCGTGGCTGGGACACACTTCTCAACTCTGATACCCACCACTATGCAATGGGTTTGCTGGCCAGGTGAGAGACCCCCTTGTCCCCGCTGCCCCTGTCATTTCTGCCTGTGCACGGGGCACCCCACACAGTGCCCGTTGTCGAGGGCCGGAGGGCCTTGTCACCCAGGGATGGCCGAGCAGAGTGGCAAAGGCTGGGAGAGGCGGGTGCACAGGAGGAGCCGCCTCCCAGAGTGCCCTCATCCCCTGCCAGGGTGCTGGGGAAAGACCAGGACTGTGTCAGTGAGTCCCAGGAGAGGTTTGCCCAGCCAGCTCAGGGTTGATGGTGCCTCTTTCCCCCTGCCAGGGAGATGCGTCGTGCCTCGAGCCCCTTGTGTTCCCCGGTTGCCCTCTGCCTGCTGGGGCTGCTCACCAGGGAGAAGCCACGCTGGGAGCTTCCTGCCATGGCATTCCTTGTGGAGGTGAGCCTGATGGCAAGCTCTGCCTTGCTGACCTGCCTCCATCTCTCTGCCCTCTCGCAGCTGCAGCTGCCCAGGACGGTGCCGTGCCTTGTGCTGCTGCCTGGGCCCAGCCCTGTGCGGGTCTTGGCTCCTGCTGGCCGGGCACCTTGTCACTGCTCCGTGCCTTTCAGGTCCTGGTCTACCTGGATGTGACTGACTGCGGTGAAAGGATCCTGCAGCTCTTTTCAAAGCACCTACGGAGCGAATGCAAAGAGAGACGTCGCCTGGCACTCAGAGGCCTTGTGGTGCTGAGCAAGGATCCTGTGATGGTGAAGAGGGGGCAGTTGGCTGAAGCCGTGCTGGAATCCTGGGGCTGGGGAGTGCAGTCACTTGGGCTTGGCTGGGCTTCGGGAGCTGTGGCAGCTGCTCCCAGCTCTGCTGCCTCCCGGCTCAGCTGCCCGAGTCCCTTGGGACAGGCCTTTGGCCTCTGGGCCCCGCAGCAGCACGTGGGGCTGCCCCACCAGAGCGGGGTTGGTGGTGCAGCCGTTCATGGCTTCACAGCACAGCATTGTGTTCCACACAGGCTGATGGCATGCAGAGCCTGACACAAAGCCTCTTGGACGTACTGGGAGATGCAGATGGAGAGCTGGTTGGGATGGCCCTCTCTGTATTCATCAATGAAATCCAGGACAGAGACATCCAAATCTCCACCCCCACTGCCCTGCGGCTGGCTGAGGTGCTCCAGCCACTCTTTGGCAATGTAAGGCTCTGTGCCTCCCACCACAGGTGCTGGGTGCTGCCAGGAAACTGTGGCCTGTGGACTTGCAGGCTTGTGCCCCGGTAGGCCTGGAGCTGAGGTCTTTTCCTCTTAATTTCCATCAGGACAAAATCCACGTGCAGCTGCTCTCCATTCACCTCTTCCGAAAGGTGATGGAGTTGGGAGTGGATGAGGGAAAACAACCTCTGAAGACACATGTGATCCAGAGCCTGCTCCCACTCTTCTTCTACTGGCATGATGAGAACCAGCATGTGGCAGAGGTGAGGACTTTCTAGGTTCTGATGTCCCCGTGGGAGGGGGCTGATCTTCCTCCTGCCCTGCCACCTTGAAGGCTCCAGCTTCCTCCTGGCCTTGGTCCAGGGACACGGGTCCTGTGCCCTGGGCTGCAGTGCCATGTCCTGCTCCCTGTTGCTCTGCAGGCCTCTTGGGAAGTGCTGATTCATGCACTTAGGTTCCTGAAGAGAAGGGATCTAGAGCAGCTGGTCAAGAAGAAGCAACCGTGGAAGTTCAGTGAGTGCCTGGTAAGGATGGCCTCAACATCCCTGTCCCAGGCTTGAGCAGCCCCCAGTCCCCAATGTCCAGAGTGTGGGGCTGGCACTGTGCCCCTGCCCACTCTGCAGCCACCTGTGGGACAGCAGCCTGCGCCCCACATGCTGCTGCCTTCGCTGAGGTGTGCGGGCTCCTCTGCAGGTTCCTCTGCCCCCGAGCCAGGGTGCCGCTGGAGCCCCGGCCCAGCTGGGCTGTGGGGCAGGGTGGCCCCATGGCTGCTGGGGAGCAGCCAGCCCTCTGCTCCCTCCAAAGCCGGCCCCAGCGGCTGCTGCCCGGGCCTCAGGGCTGTGCGGGCAGGGGAGGCCAGTGCTGGGTGCAGGCAGCGCCCGGCCAAGGGGCAGAGCCCCAACCAACCCTCTCCTCTGTGCCCTGCTGCTCTCTCCAGCTGGAAAAGGACCGGAGCCGAGTGGCCAACCATCTGCGCCAGGCCCTGCCTTACCTGGAGAGCCCACAGGAGCCCCTGCGAGAGGCAGCCATCAAGTTCATTGGTGAGCCACAAGGTCCCTCCCCGCCCCACTGCAGCTCAGCCCCAGCCCCGGCTGCTGCAGCGGCAGCAGGATGCGGCCCAGGGATGTGCTGGGGAGCCCCGAGTGCCCTGGTGGCTGCCGCCCTGTGCCAGCCCAGCCCTGGGGTGTCCCAAGGTGGGAAGGCCCTGGGCTCAGCCCTGCCTGGGCAGGAGGGCATGTGGCCAGGCCAGCAGTGCCACTGGGGGGGAGCTGTGCTGTTGGGGCCCTGACAGCATCTGTGTTCCCAGGGATGGCCGGGAGGTACCTGAGGGGACAGAAGGAAGAGTTGCAGCTCGTCATGAATGGTGAGTGAGGGCAGCACGGTGTCAGCGGGGGCTGGCGGGAGGAGCACGGAGCCTGGGCAGGGAGCTGCAATCCTGTCCCGGCTGTGGAGGGCTCTGCTCCCTGCATGGATGAGGAACGGCTTGGGCAGAGCAGAGCAGAGCGAGATTTCAGGGGCATGAGGTGTTTTGCTGGCCAGTGCCTTCCGGCTGATCCCGTTGGGACCTGCTTCCTCCTGTCCATGGCAAGAGTTGGGTGGGATGGCCCTGGCAAGAGGGGCTCCTCGGGCCCCCACAGATGCTGGCTCTGACCTTGGCTCTGTTCTTTTCTGTTCCAGCCCTTCAACGCATGACTCATGACAGCGCTGCTGTCAAAAGCTTGGCAATCAAAACCCTGAAAATGCTACGCACTGCAGAGAGACCTCCTTCTTCTCTACATTCCACCAGCTTGAAAATCAGCTCCAGAATGTGCGGAATAGAAAGGATCCTCTGTGGGGCAGCTGCCAGAGGTCAGCGGAGAACTGATCCTGGGAACCCTGTCTGATGGGACCACCTGAGCCTGCAGGAAAGACCCTTCTCATCCTGTTACCCCAGCTTGAGAATATGAAATTCCTCTTAGCATACACAGAGGCTCCGGAGGTTTTTTAGTGCCCGGTGTCCACAGGGCATCTGGGAAGAGGGGAAAAAGGGCCTTTGTGTTCAGCAATACTTGGCCAAGTGTGCAGTGGGGAAGGGAAAGTGCCCAAAAGGCCCTTAGCCTTGGGGGCTTCTGCTGGAGCCTCAACACTTCTGGCAGAGAGGATGGGCAGAGCCTGGAGCTGTGGGGATCACTGAGAAGAACGTCCTTGAAGGTGGCCACAGGTCCTGTGCCAGCCAGGAAGCAGCATCTGTGGCCCACCCGTGTGTTGCTGTCTGGCTTGCTGAGGGCTGGGAGGTGCCTCCTGAGCCAGCTCCTGTGGAGCTCCTTCAGGGCTGCGCCGCTGCCGGGCAGGTTGTCGGGGCTGGGGGAGAGCCTGAGGGGACGGGGCGCTGGGAGGCCCTGAAGGGCTGAGGGGCTGCGGAGGTCCTGCCATGGCAAGGGAGTGGGAAGCCCTGAGGGGAATGTGTGAGGGGGTGGGTGGCAGGAGGCTGCGAGAGGACAGGCTGGGCAGAGGATGCCCTGAGGGGACAGGGTGTGGGAAGCCCTGAGCAACTGGGGGGCAGAGGCCATAAGCAGCCCCCTGGTTCCCTGCCAGCCGGCTGCTCTGGCGCTCGCCCAGGACATCTGACTATGCTCGAGGATATGCATCCTCCAAAAGCCCACAGAGCCTAGGAAAGCCTGTGTTTCCTTCTTGCTGGTTGGTGGGGACATGGCTGCTACTTTGTTAATCACCTCCATTGGAATTAGGCGGCGTCCATCTTGCCACTTCACTCCTAGGAACTGAATTTCCTGAGCAGGTCCCTTGACCTTACTCCGTTTAATGGCAAAACCGGCTCTTAGGAGAATCTGGATTATCTTCTCTCCTTTCTCGAAGACTTCACCCGCTGTGTTCCCCCATACAATGATGTCGTCAATGTACTGTAGGTGCTCTGGAGCCTCACCCTTTTCCAGTGCAGTCTGGATCAGTCCCTGGCAAATGCTGGGACTGTGTTTCCACCCCTGAGGCAGTCGATTCCAGGTGTACTGCACACCTCTCCAAGTGAAAGCAAATTGTGGCCTGCACTCCGCTGCCAAAGGAATGGAGAAAAAGGCATTGGCAATGTCAATGGTGGCATACCACTTGGATTCCTTGGACTCCAGCTCGTACTGGAGCTCCAGCATGTCCGGCACAGCAGCACTCAGGGGTGGTGTGACTTCATTGAGTCCACGGTAATCCACCGTCAGCCTCCACTCTCCGCTGGACTTACGCACTGGCCATATAGGGCTATTAAAGGGTGAGCGAGTCTTGCTGACCACCCCCTGGGTCTCCAGTTCACGGATCATCTTATGTATAGGGGTCACAGAGTCTTGGTCGGTGCGGTATTGCCGACGGTGCACTGTTGCTGTGGCTATCGGTACCAATTGTTCTTCAACCTTCAGCAGTCCCACAGCAGAGGGGTCCTCTGAGAGACCAGGCAAGGTGTTCAACTGTCTAATTTCCTCCGTCTCCACAGCAGCTATGCCAAAAGCCCAACGAAGTCCTTTTGGGTCTTTGAAATACCCACTCCTCAGGTAATCTATTCCAAGGATGCACGGGGCCTCTGGGCCAGTCACGATGGGGTGTCTGTGCCATTCCTTCCCAGTCAGGCTCACTTCAGCTTCCAGTACAGTCAGCTGTTGGGATCCCCCTGTCACCCCAGAAATGGAGATGGATTCTGCCCCTACGTATCTTGATGGCATTAAAGTACATTGTGCGCCGGTGTCCACTAAGGCCTTATACCTTTGTGGCTCTGATGTGCCAGGCCACCGAATCCACACTGTCCAATAGACTCGATTGTCCCTCTCCTCTACCTGGCTAGAGGCAGGGCACCCCTAGTCCTGGTCATGGTACTCATTGTGCTCTTCTTGTGGGTATGACCTGGAGGTCCCTTCAAGAGGATCAGACGTATCATCATTCCTGTACCGTCTGGAGTCTTGCCCACGAGAGACTGGAGCAGCGTTTACCCTTGAAGAGTTCTTTATGGTATTTGTTCCTCTTTTCAGTTCACATACCCGGGCTGCTAAGGAAGAGGTGGGTTTCCCATCCCACTTCCTCATATCTTCTCCGTGCTCATGGAGGTAAAACTATAGATCACCACGTGGAGTGTACCTTCTCTCCTTAGCTGGGGGACGCTGGCTCCTAATAGCAGAGACTCTTGTTTGTCCTGGCGAGATATGGGAAATCCCTTCCTTAATTTCTTCTCTTAGCTTCCGGTGTCCCTCTTCAATTTTCTCTTCCAGGCTTCGGACGTGTTCAGACAGTTTGGTTTCCACAGATGAGACGTGGGCTCGTAATGGGGCGGTGACAGTGTCTTCATAAATCCTGACTTTACTAACCAATGCTCCCACCTTGTCCTCTCCCTCCCTCCATTGCAGCGTTGCTAAGTAGCGGGAATACATTTCTGGCCCGAGTCGTGCAAACTTTAGCCACATCTGGGAGGTGCACTGTACGCCATCTGGACTTTTAGGGAATCTTTCATCCTCTGAAAAGATTATCTCCAGTACAGCTAACTCCCTTAAGCACCGGATACCTTGTTCCATCGTGTTCCACTGTCCTTGCTGTACGTGGAGGTCCTCCTTGCAAAGGTATCTCTCCCTCACACTGCACAACAGTCACTGCCAGAGGCTGAGAGTTTCCTGCCTCCTTCCAATCCCCTGATCAATGACTACATCTCGAGACAGGGACCCCAGCTGTCTGGCTTCACTCCCATCTAGGATTGTATCGTTAGCTGCGGCATCCCAGATTCGGAGCAGCCAGGTCAGAATGGACTCGTTCGCCTGTCGTGTGAACTCTCTCTGGAGCTCACGTAGCTCACCCAGGGATAGGGACCGAGTGATTATTTCTGGCTCTGTCTCCTCCGGTGGATGTGAAGGTCCTGCCTCTTCGTCATCATTTGCTATACGGACTGATTTAGTCTTTGATTTCCTTTTCTGGACAGGGGCGACTGCTATTGGTTTTGGTTGTTCTTCTGGCTCCTTGATGGTTTGTGTGGACACGGTGCCGGTTGGTTTATTTCTTTCTCCCTCTGACTCAGCTGTGGTTTGGGTGGACGTGGTGCCTGCGGATTTGGTCCTTCTCTCCTCCCCCTGACAGTGCTGTACCATGTCAAGTAGTGTCCAGTAGGCAGTGGCCAGGGCCCAGCAGGTTGCTGTGAGATGGCCATCTCTGGAGCTGCCAGAGCATTTTCCCTTCACCAGTCTTATCATGCTAACAGGATCCTGCAGTTGTTCAGGGGTGAATTTCCAGATCATTGGAGGAGAAAACTTCTCCAAATACTGGCTGATGTCCTCCCACTTCCCGTGCCACTCAGCATTATCTGCTCCCAGGGCAGGTGTCCAAACAATCTCCCTAGAAGGCCCTGTTCTGACCCTAAATATGGTGTACACAGTACAGAGCAGACAGAGCAACACTAACAATAACATTGTGCTGTCCTTAACATCAAAAGGGAACTCAATATTTTCAAAAACTGTTGTAGCAGGTCTGAAGGGGAAGAAGGAGGTGAGAGGCTGGAAACAACCATCCCCCCCGTTCCCCCAAAGGGCTGGGTACGATTTTTAATGAGGCCCCAGAGGTAGCAACCCAAACCAGGACAGGCAAACAGGACTGAATACACATTTACAATGAAACTCATTGCTTCTGATGTTAGAATGACATAAACATAATATACTAATAAAGCAATTTGGATCCCTCTCCCTGCTGTTAAAGAGAGCATCAAAACAGGCAAATAATACCCCATCTGTGGAAATATGAACAGGCTCAAATACAACATCCATGTGACTGCATCAAACAACATGGTGATCAGGGAGTTTCTATATCCAAATAGACAAATGCTTAAAATGAAATTGTGATTCTGACTTCTCTCTCTCTGCCCAACGTTGGGCGCCAAAATTGTGCTGGTTTAAGAGTTAACCAGCAGGGGAAATGAACTCAACTCAAAGGAGAGATTATAAGTCAGAATAACAATTTATTACAATAATACAGTAAGTACAATCATACAAACAAACAATTGGTCTTAACCCACAAAACCCAAATGTATAACCCAGTACCCTGGGGCATGAACAAAGTGGTGTTCCTTGGGCCCCACTTGAGTCCAAAGTAAAGGGAGAGGGGAAGAACCTGCTGGTGGGAGAGCTGTTGCAGTCTGGTCAAAAGTGGTGATTGCAGTCCAGTTGAGGGTGGTCTAAGTCTGGTTGAGAGCGATGAGCTGCAGTCTTCCTCTGGATCCCACGAGTGGTTAAAAATGTTCCAAGACTCCAAGATTATATATCCTCCAGCGCAGGCAGGAATGCTCAGTACTTCCCTCAGGGCGGGGAGTTCCACAAAGGGTGTGAGGACAAGAGCATCCTCCTATCTCACAGGCCTATTAACACCTAGTTTATAGCCTGAGGAGTCAGGCTCTATGAGCAGAGGGTGCGAATAGTCTGTTGACAACAGTTTCTGGGAAATGGCATGGAAGGCTAGAGAATACACAGTTTTGGGTTACACCCATACATGATGAACTGGTCTCAGCTGTCCTAACTAGGACATTATGCTAGTTTAGAAATGTCAGGAATATGTAACAGGAATGCGGGGAACGAAAGTGAATAATCATGTAATGCAGACATACAAGTCAGAACTGAGATGTCATGGAGTGTGCTGGGGCAGCCCCATGGCCTTCCTTCTTCATCATCCTAAACAGCCTGAGCAGGCTGAAGCATCTCCCCACCATTCTACATCTGTGTCTCAAGGGCACCTGCAAGAGACAGAAGCCTTGATAAAGCTCCAGGTCAGCAAGGAACTAGTTGGCTGTGGCCAGCAGCTTAAATCCAGTGCACTGGGGAAGTGAAGAGGATAGGGAGAACTCTGGGATCCAAACATGTTCTATGTCTCTGATTAAGGTGCCACCCCCCTGAAGGAGCAGCCAAGTGCTAGAAGCAGATGTGTTCTGCCAGTTGCTGCTCTCGGATGGACACAGGGCACACATGTT